GTCTTGAACTCCTGAGCTCAAGCAATCCTCCCACCTTGGCCTCCCAGAGTGCTAGGATTACAGGCGTGAGCCACCACGCCTGGCCATCCAAGAGCTTTTAATTCTCTAAATGTTCCCTTTTTAGGGCATCCTGTTGTTCTTTCATGATTGGTATCATTTCATCTCTTCTGATCCTGGCATTGTTTATTTCCTCTAAGTTTTGTTATATTGCTTCTTTGTTTCTCTTTCATTTTGGTTTCTCTCTTTCTTGTTGGAGGTTTCCCTCCAATGACTAGTTGTCCTATGCTGTCCATTTATATTTATGCGCGGGAATGAAAAAGCTAACTGAAGCCCTGGGAGCACTGATAGGGCACGTCAAATGCTATGGACTGCATGTTCGTGTCCTCCTGATTCATATGTTGAAGCCCTTATCCCCAGTGTGATGGTATTTGGAGATGGGCCTTTGGGAGGTAATTAGTTCATGAGGGTAGAGCCCTCATGATGAGATTAATGCCCTTATAAGAAGAGACACGTGCATTCTATCTCACTCTCTTTAGCTCTCCTCTCTCCTCTCTTGCTCTCTCTCTCTCTCTCTCTCTCTCTCTCTCTGCTATGTGAAGACAGCACAAAGACATCCATCTGCAAACCAAGAAGAGAGCCCTCACCAGACATCAGATCTACTGATGCCTTGATCTTAGACTTCCCAGCCTCCAGAACTATGAGAAATAAATATTTGTTGTTTAACCTGTCCAGTCTGTGGTATTTTTGTTATAGTAACATGAACTAAGAGATCAGGGTAAAGGTGAGCCCGTGTAGTGATCAGACATAGTCCTGGTTCTTTCACTGGGGGACCCTCAGTTATCAACACCTGTAGTCATTTCTCTTGATAATCCATTTCCTCTGAGAGGAATCTAACAGACTTTTGTGTGGGGGTGAGAGAGGGAGTGAAGGAGGGTCATAGACATCCCTGGTTGCAGCATTCTCAGAGCACACGGAAAAGGGAACTGGGGTCGCCAGTCAGAATGGAGACTCAGCCTCCATTTTCTGTCCTCACGACTGGCATTTCCAATCTGGAGACCCCTCCACAAACCTTCTATCGGGCTGTTGACTTGCCGCAGCATGGGGCGGGGAATCTAAGTTACTAACTTCTTATACCAACAATCAGCCATCCCATTAAAGGAAATACCCAGAACCTTTAGTTCCTGAGTCTTTCTAGGGAACTATAAATGACCTTGCTTACTCAAATTCACCCCTGCAGGCGTCTGGCTTTCTTCTCCCTTTTTACACAGCTTCTGCTTTTCAGGTCCTGAAATTTTATGGCCATCTCTTTTCTGTTTTTTCTCTCTTGACCTCCTTATCATTATATATGGGGTTTTTTTCTGGGGGCGGGGAGGGGGCTTTCTAAAATCTCTTAACTGTAAGTTTATTGGGAATTGGGACATAAATGTATGTGTTTAACCTGCCATCTTTAACTGAAAAAAAGGTCATATTTAGGACCTTTTAATAAAGCTTCTCAGTCCTTTTGTACCTCCGAAAATCTGTGTCTTGCCTTCACATTCTATTAGCAATGGCTGCTATAGAATGCTAGTTTCACATTCATTTTCCCTCCAGGCTTGGAGGCTTTATTCTACTAGACTTTAAGCATCCACTGATGCTGATGAGAAGACTGCTGTCTGCTCAGGGGACACCTGTTCCTGTATAAGTAATCTGTTTTTCTTTCTCTGAAAGGGTTTATGGTCTTTTCTTTATCCTTGGTTTTCGATTTCACAGATACATCTCTAGGGGTGAGAATTTTTTTATTCATTTTTTGGGTGCTCAGTGGGACCTCCCCACCCCAGGAAGAATGGCTCTCTGATTCCACCTTCTTCTTGTTCACAGAATAAAGTCCCTTTAGTCTGGTTCATCCATCAGTAGATTCTCATTTGCTTTTTATCTTCAGAAAAATTCTTCAAAACCTCTGGGCTGATTCTGTCCACCTCATTTCTCATGTATGTTGTGGACTTACTCTCGTTTGTGAATCCTGTAACCTCAGTGGGATTTGAGGGAGGAGCGAAGGTAAACGTGTCTCTCTCCACCACCTTGACCTAGACGTTTCACTTCTCCTTCACGATGCCCATCGTCGGATTGCTTGGACCTCAGGATGCCAAGTTCCCCAGGTCTTTGCTTTCTAAGCCAACTCGTGGTTGTTTATATGAACCTTTACTAGAATATTCTTACAGGGCAGAAACCAGTTTTACTAACATCATTATTTGTGCATACCTAGAAAAGACAGCTAATTAAAATTTTTATGCCAGAATAGAACCAAGCAAGTTAAATTATTGCCATTGCTATTTATGCCCAATTATAGCACTCTTGAATAAGAACAACCAAAGCAATACTCTGTGATTATAGTTCACCTTATTTCTTTTTCTACTTTTTTTCTTTCTCTTTTTTTCCACTTTTCTCTTCTAAATGGTCATTATCCCCAATTTCTTTCCCCTTCTTTCCTGGTAGGTATATTTATTTTTGTTCAAATTACTTTCCATGTGCACTTTTGAAAATCAGCCTGTTAGGTGATTCTAGAGTCTGTAAATCATCATAAAGTGCCTGCAGAAAGGACCCTAAAACGAAGTTACGCATTAAAAAAGAATGCCAAGAGGTCTTAAATACTTTGATCTTTAACTTTGAAAATAAAAACTTTTGGTTCTTCATTAATCACTTGGACTACGTGATTCAATTCTGAACCGTTTCCTTGGGCTTTGCTAAAATTAATAACAAGCTTTTCAAAATCATTATGGAATAGTTAAGGGCTTCCAGCCTATGAAATTTTCTCAAGAACAGAAATAACAAAAATATAACTTCAATATGAAAGTGATTAGTGGCCATGTACCAAAAATTAAATGCATAAGGTAAAAAACTGATTTTAAACAACTCAATTATGTTAAATGTTATAACACATATTGGAACCATAAATGCATCATAGCTTTAGTGCTGTTAGTAGTCACTGTAACTATCTCTATCAATTCTGAAGGATTTTTTGCTTTTGGTGAAATTGTCTTCATTCTGTGACTGGTCCAGAAAATTTGGGTTATTTTCTAGTCAAACAAGTAAAGAGCTTTTAAATGTGAACAGAAAGTTTATTTACTGGTATAAAAATTTTAAGTAACATTGGAAATTACCCAGACATACGTTAAAAAAATCTTGCTTTATAAATCTTAGAAATAGCCTTAAAATGTTAATACTGAACTTATAAAGTTGCTAGCCTTGGTGAGACTCAAATTTCGTATTATTAATTTCCAAAGAATTTAATTTTCCGCAAAACCAACTCTGACAGTTGAGTGAAAATATGGTCAGAAATATTTCTACTCTCAGTATTAATTATGGGAACTTTTCCATGCCTTTTAAGTTTGCTGATGTCATTCTGTCTTTGCACAACAAAGACCAAGAAATATGTATTTTAGTCAATCACTTGTTAGTGAATACTGTGTCATACAATTGAAATCAAAGGAATTTCATATAGTTTAAATCTGAAGACTCAGTTCTCCAAAGAAAATATCCTGAATTTAAAATTTACTTCAAAAACAAAATGGAAGAGTTTTTCCAGCACAGTCTTTGGCACAGTCCGGCTTCTCATGGAAGCGGACTCCTGGATAAGGAGCCCAGATCTGCCTCTGTGGCTGACCCTGAAAGGATTTGTCACCCAGGGGCTTTAAACATGCCACTTTCCCTCTAGTTCATTGATTTTCCAATTATCAAATAAGGACACTAACATTTCTCTTTCTGAGTGTGAGATCATAGCATTTATAATGAAATCCTCGCTTTCTATAATCCATACCTCTGGCTTTCACCCCAAACATTAGAAAATGTTTGCTGTAAAAAAAAGTAGTCGGCTTACGTCAACTACATTGAAGTTGGATTCTGAAAGATTATTTTATTCAGCTTCAGGCTTTAAGCCTTGGAAATAATCATAGATGCAAATGGTGGTAGAATTTCCATAATGGAAACAATTGTTTCATTCATTGGAGCCAAAATTTCTCTTCATGAAAATGACAACATTTAAAGGAACTCCTATTGACCCGGAATGAGCATTTTGATCTTTTTTAATTAAACAAAGAAAATTTCTTCTGTAAAAACAATAGTTTTAGCATGGCTGGTTTTTCATTACAAAATGCTTACTGAAATTTTAAACAACTTGCCCTGTGTAAAATTATTTGTGACAATTTGCTTTAAATTATTATTTTAGAATTTACGGATTATATGGAAAATATATGTGTGGGAGTGTACATATACCTGTATACTTTTTTTTTTTTAGAGATGAGGTCTTGCTCTGTCACCTAGGTTGGAGTACAGTGGTGTCATCATAGCTCACTGCAACCTCAAACTCCTGGGCTCAAACAATCCTCCTGCCTCAGTCCCTCGAGTAGCTGGGACTAACAGGCATGCACCACCATGCCTGGCTAATTTTTGAAATTTTGTTTTGTAGAGATTGGGTCTCACTATGTCACTTAGGCTAGTCTTGAACTCCTGGCCTTAAGCAATCCTCCCACCTCAGCCTCCCAAAGTGCTTAGGATTACAAGCATGAGCCACGGTGCCCAGCCCATATATCTGTATACATTTTTTAAAGTGAGAACCTTTCAAAGGATTATAGAATAGAAAGAAAGACTGCAAGATTCAAAGCATGGATACCCTTAAATAACGACTTCCTCACCAATAAATGGACCACATTTGCTAAACATTTCAGTTTAGCAAACAGACATATTCTGTGTCTCATGGGCCACCTGTTGAATGAGAGGACTCCAGATGGAAGATCAAAGACAAAACCACAGGAACTTTTAGGGTAGATCCTCAACTTAGTAAAAATAAAGGTACAGTGCCCCTTGAGAACTGGCCCCTAAATTTCCTTCCTCTACTTCAGAGTATGACAATGACATGTATTCAGGGACTTTGGCCAACAAATTTTTGAAGGTTTAGGAAGCATTGAACAAGACTTGACAATATTTATCATGTTTACAAATGCACTTTGAAACATGTACATCACACCCTATATAAAAATAAAGCTGTGAACAGCTGGACAAGAACATTGGTCTACTTTCCGAACTTTTTTCCAAGTTCCTTGACATCGTGGATTGCCAATTGCTTGCCAATGGAGAGTTTGATTTCTGAAACGATATTTTGAAAATGTTAGTTACACTAAAAGCAAACTGAAGAAAATTCTAATTTACAGAATTACATATTGACGTTTTAAAATATATATATTGATCACATACAGAGGTTTAAAGTGCATTACAAATTAATTTTTTAAAAAAGGATCACAAACAGAGTTTCCCTTCTTTAGGCTCCTGTCAAAGCAAGTTACCAATTAATCCCATCTCAGGACACCCTCGTGTTAGGAGAGTAGTTTGGGGTTACTGTGTTTGCTGTTCCCTCTTGATCTGAATATAAATACTACATAAATGAAAGCGGCTTTTTCATGTATATTTAAATTAGGAGGATCTGAACCAAATGACCTCTTTTAATCCTTTCCAACTCTTTGATTCCATCATAAAAAAATGGGAGAAGTGGAAAGAGCAAAGCCAGATTATTAAAATTATT